GTTCTGCAAATGGGCAGATGTGTTCTGCAGTCTCCCCCCAACCCTCCGCCCCACAAAAAGCAGGCCGGAAGAACCGTCGGTGCCTCGGGACAAGTGCACCCTTCCTGAACCGCCAACCCTGCATTTCCCCCCCCCCTCACATTGCCTGAGCCTGCTGGAAGTTACAGCCCCTTGCAAAGGCAGAGTGTCATACAACCCGGCCCGCTGGCCCATCTCCTTACCTCCTTCCACCACCCCCACGACGGGAAAGGTCGTTTTTCAAAGGCCCCGGTGGACGGCGGATTTGAGCGGACGGAAAGTCCGACATGCAGAGAAGGTCTTCTGTGAAAGGAAATTGGGGGGAACGGATTAAGAACGAAGGCCGGACTCGGCCATCTTGGAAAGGGCTTTTCCACAGGGGACCCGGGGACCGCCGAGAACGAGGGAAGAAAGCCCCCAATTGCGAGAAGGCATCTGGGAGAGGATGGATCCTGGTGAAGAACCAGCCGGCGGACATGCGCCGAAGGCCGAGGGAAGCCGCCCGTCCCTTGGGCAGGAGCATAGAGTGGAGACGCTCTGCGCTTTGCGGCTTAGCTTCTCGGTGTCCCGATGCTGGGCAAAAGGCCTCAACGTTAATGCTACGGGACGCAAAGCTCTGCCCTCCTGTGGTCAAAAACGGGTATTGCCGACAGCAAAAGAAATAAACGCTTTTAATGGCATTTTAAAATTACGATATTCTCTGTCTTTATTAACGGTATTAACACCTTATTAACAGGGCCAGGGGAGGCCCGTTTGCTGCAACGCACAGGCGCGGAAGAAGAAATCGGCTTCAAAAGCCTTCAACCTAGTTAAGGAGGACTATGATGCCCTATTAATATTAATAAGGTTTTAATAAGAAAGAGTAGCCTTAAAATGCCATTGACAAGTTTTGTAATGGCTGCTGGGCCTGCTTCAACCACGGGATGGATGGCACTGTTTTTTGACCCTTAGTAGCACGCAATAGCTTCAATAGATAAATAAAAAATAATAATCATCTTAAAATCATGTTAAAAGGGTTTATTTCCTTTTCTGGCTGCTATGCCTTCTTTAACCGTAGGACTCACTTCTTCTCAATAAATGACTTCCCCTCTCCCAGGAAACAGGCGATGGGAGCCTAAGCGGCCCCTCCTGGCACTTTCTCGCTGTTTTTAAATATCCCTCGGCTACGACCAACCCAAGCAAAAGCGGCTTACCAACTGAATAAGAGACAGTGGAGCTCCAGATGAGCTTAAACCGAATGTCCTCTGCAGCAACAAAAAGGATTAAAGGGGGGGTGTATGGGGACCAGAAGGTATCGAAAGACCTGAGCTTTCCTAAGAGTAGAATGGCATTTTTTAGAGCCAGACATTTTAATATCCTCTCCTTGGCACTCCTGCAGGGCAGGAATGATAAACCCCCAAGACTGACTGAAGGTGTACTTGTGGCAGCGGGGAAGCTGAAGATCTCTCTCACACGCGTGTCCTGTTAGTCCAAAGCCAAACATTAAAACCAAAAGCCGTTCTTTTGATCTGAAAAATATTTCCTTTCATTGTGTGCATTGTACGGGGAGGAATTTGTGGGAATGAGGGGGGCGCGGGGGCGGGGCTTAGAGTCTAATGGTTCTGCTCACTATTGCCCTTTATGTCAAACGCCCAGAAATGTGAGAAGGGGCGTCAGAAAAGGCCGTCAGTCTGCGGGTTCTAGGACTGACTCGCTCAGAGCCTAGATCCCAATAACGCTCAGTGCCGTGTTTCTTAAAATGCTCCCGTGCCATGTTTTCAGCAGCACGCTGCTTGAACTTCACCTCGCCAAAGCTCCGCTCCTGACCTCTCCCACTTTTTGACTTAAAGAGGAGGGGTGCTCTGAAGGGACAATTGTACAGAGCACCCACAGTTCAGTTCCTGAAGGTGTTTCTCTGTCCTGTCGCTAAGGGGGCATAATAAAACCAGGACTTTCTTAGTGACGCTGGGAATCACCAAACGCCTCAGTTAGACCATACCATAAATACTACTCGCCTCCCACACCAGGTGAAATTTTTCGGTGTTTTTTCACAGATTCCTCCTCATCTGCAAGAAAAAAAATGCTTAGGGTGTAAGAATGGGGAAAACAACTGAAAGATGGATGTGTTGGCAAAGTACACTCGAGATCGGCAATCGGAAAAAACTTTATCAACAGGACAGAAGGTGAGAATTCTGCCCTTCCTTTAGAAATGCAGGATAAACACAGACCTCTGAAAGCTCCAGCAGCTCATGAAAGAAGCGAACCTGTGGCGACAGTAAGGACCAGTTCCGAAGCCATCCCGGGGCTCGCCCCTTTCTAGGTCATTTGATTACTTTAAAACTTTCTTACCATCTCCTTTCTGCTCATCCCATTTTATTCGGTGTAACGTGAGCCGCTTAAATTTCTCCTGTGCTTTGTGACCTTGGAAAGAAAGCAGAAAAGATACAACTGACAAACAGCATCGCGACAAGCGACGAAGCACAGCTTCGCAAACACAATAACTGGGAGGAGGTCCCAACCATAAACCCAGAGCCACTCTAGAAGGAAAAGCCAGAGAGACGAGTTCCCTGTGCTGCTTGTCAAAGCCCACGTTTCTGAAGACTTGGCCTACCCTGACACAATGGCCTGAAACCGGTTTTCTTTACTCCAGGTTGCGCCCAGGGATGCTATTTCTGCCACATCCGGTCTGCAAATGGGCAGATGTGTTCTGCATTCTCCCCCCAACCCTCCGCCCCACAAAAAGCAGGCCGGAAGAACCGTCGGTGCCTCGGGACAAGTGCACCCTTCCTGAACCGCCAACCCTGCATTTCCCCCCCCCTCCTCACATTGCCTGAGCCTGCTGGAAGTTACAGCCCCTTGCAAAGGCAGAGTGTCATACAACCCGGCCCGCTGGCCCATCTCCTTACCTCCTTCCACCACCACCACGACGGGACAGGTCGTTTTTCAAAGGCCCCGGTGGACGGCGGATTTGAGCGGACGGAAAGTCCGACATGCAGAGAAGTCTTCTGTGAAAGAAATTGGCGGGAACGATTTAAGAAACGAAGGGCCGGAAGGTCGGCCATCTTGGAAAGGTGTTTTTTCTCACAGGGGACCCGGGGAACCGCCGAGAACGAGGGACAGAAAGCCCCCAATTGCGAGAAGGCCCTCGGGAGAGTGCGGATTGCTGGTGAAGAACCAGGCCCGGCGGCATGCGCCCGCAGGCCGAGGGGAAGCAGCCCCGTCCTTGGCAGGAGCTAGATTGGAGACGCTCTGCGCTTTGCGGCTTAGCTTCTCGTTGTTCCCGAGCTGGGCAAACCAAAAGGCTAACGTTAAGGGGACGGGACGAAAGCTCGGCCCTCCTGTGGCAAACACGGGTTTGCCCGCCAGCAAAGAAAAATAAAACGCTTTTAATGGCATTTTAAAATTACGATATTCTCTGTCTTTATTAACGTTATTAACACCTTATTAACAGGGCCAGGGGAGTCCCGATTGCTGCAAGGCACAGGCGCGGAAGAAGAAATCTGCTTCAAAAGCCTTCAACCTAGTTAAGGAGGACTATGATGCCCTAGTAAGATTAATAAGGTTTTAATAAGAAAGAGTAGCCTTAAAATGCCATTGTTTTGTAATGGCTGCTGGGCCTGCTTCAACCACGGGATGGATGGCACTGTTTTTTGACCCTTAATAGCACGCACTAGCTTCAATAGATAAATAAAAAATAATAATCATCTTAAAATCATGTTAAAAGGGTTTATTTCCTTTTCTGGCTGCTATGCCTTCTTTAACCGTAGGACTCAATTCTTCTCAATAAATGCCTTCCCCTCTCCCAGGAAACAGGCGATGGGAGCCTAAGCGGGCCTCCTGTGCACTTTCCTCGCTGTTTTTAAATATCCCTCGGCTACGACCAACCCAAGCAAAGCGGCTCCCGACGGAATAAGAGACGTGGAGCTCCAGCTAGAGCTTAACCGAATGTCTCTCTGCAGCAACAAAAAGGATTAAATGGGGTGTGTGGGGACCAGCAAGGTATCTGAAAGACCTGAGCTTTCCTAAGAGTAGAATGGCATTCTTTAGAGCCAGACATTTTAATATCCTCTCCTTGGCACTCCTGCAGGGCAGGAATGATAAAACCCCAAGACTGACTGAAGGTGTACTTGTGGCAGCGGGGAAGCTGAAGATCTCTCTCACACGCGTGTCCTGTTAGTCCAAAGCCAAACATTAAAACCAAAAGCCGGTCTTTGGATCTGAAAAATATTTCCTTTCATTGTGTGCATTGTACGGGGAGGAATTTGTGGGAATGAGGGGGGCGCGGGGGCGGGGCTTAGAGTCTTAATGTTTCTGCTCACTTCTTGCCCTTTATGTCAAACGCCCAGAAATGTGAGAAGGGGCTTCAGAAAAGGACGTCAGTCTGCGGGTTCTAGGACTGACTCGCTCAGAGCCTAGATCCCCAAGAACGCTCACTGCGTCGTGTTTCTTAAAATGCTCCCGTTGCCATGTTTCAGCCAGCACGCTTGCTTGAACTTCACCTCGCCAAAAGCTCCGCTCCTGGACCTCTCACACTTTTTGAATTTAAAAGAGGAGGGGTCTCTCTGAAGGGAACAATTGTACAGAGCACCCACAGTCAGTTCCTGAAGGTGTTTCTCTGTCCTGTCGCTAAGGGGGCCATAATAAAAACCAGGACTTTCTTAAGTGACGCTGGGACATCACAAACGCCTCAGTTAGACCATACATAAATACTTACCGCCTCCAAACCAGGGAACATTTGTTGGTGTTTTTTTCACAGATTCCTCCTCATCTGCAAGAAAAATAAACTGCTAAGGGTGTAAGAATGGGGAAACAACTGAAGATGGATGTGTCTGTTCAAAAGTACACTCGAGATCGGTCAGATCGGAAACATCCTTTATTCATACAGAAGGGGAGAATTCTGCCCTTCCTTTAGAAAAGGCAGGATACAGACCTCTGCAAGCTCAGTAGCTCATGAAAAGAAGCGAACCTTTGGCGACAGTAAAGGACCAGTTCACGAAGCCATCCACGGTGGGCTCGCCTCTTTCTAGGTCATTGGATTACTTTAAAACTTTCTTACCATCTCCTTTCTGCTCATCCCATTTTATTCGGTGTAACGTGAGCCGCTTAAATTTCTCCTGTGCTTTGGGACCTTGGAAAGAAAGCAGAAAAGATACAACTGACAAACAGCATCGCGACAAGCGACGAAGCACAACTTCGCAAACACAATAACTGGGAGGAGGTCCCAACCATAAACCCAGAGCCACTCTCAAAGGAAAAGCCAGAGAGACGAGTTCCCTGTGCTGCTTGTCAAAGCCCACGTTTCTGAAGACTTGGCCTACCCTGACACAATGGCCTGAAACCGGTTTTCTTTACTCCAGGTTGCGCCAAGGGATGCTATTTCTGCCACATCCGTTCTGCAAATGGGCAGATGTGTTCTGCATTCTCCCCCCAACCCTCCGCCCCACAAAAAGCAGGCCGGAAGAACCGTCGGTGCCTCGGGACAAGTGCACCCTTCCTGAACCGCCAACCCTGCATTTTCCCCCCCCCTCCTCACATTGCCTGAGCCTGCTGGAAGTTACATCCCCTTGCAAAGGCAGAGTGTCATACAACCCGGCCCGCTCGCCCCTCTCCTTACCTCCTTCCACCACCACCACGACGGTAAAGGTCGTTTTTTAAAGGCCCCGTGGACGGCGGATTTGATCGGACGGAAATCGACAGAGCAGAGAAGGTCTTCTGTGAGGAAAATTGGGGTAACGATTAAGAGCGAAGGCGGAAGTCGTGCCATCGTGGAAAGGTGCTTTTCTCACATGACCCGGGACCTCCGAAGAACGAGGACTGAAAGCCCCAATTGCCGAGAGTCCTCTGGGAGATTGCTGGATTGCTTGGTGAAAACCAAGCCCCGGCGGAAGCGCCGAAGGCCGATGGAAGCGGCCCGTCCCTTTTGGCAGGAGCATAGAGTGGAGACGCTCTGCCTTTGGGGGGGGGGGGGGGCGGGCTTAGCTTTCTCGTGTCCATGCTGGGCAAAAAGGCCTCAACGTTATGCTACGGGGACGGAAGCTCTGCCCTCTGTGGTCAAAAACGGGTATTGCCGCCACCAAAAGAAATAACCGCTTTTAATGGCATTTTAAAATTACGATATTGTCTGTCTTTATTAACGGCATTAACACCTTATTAACAGGGCCAGGGGAGGCCCGTTTGCTGCAACGCACAGGCGCGGAAGAAGAAATCTGCTTCAAAAGCCTTCAACCTAGTTAAGGAGGACTATTATGCCCTATTAATATTAATAAGGTTTTAATAAGAAAGAGTAGCCTTAAAATGCCATTGACAAGTTTTGTAATGGCTGCTGGGCCTTCTTCAACCACGGGATGGATGGCACTGTTTTTTGACCCTTAATAGCACGCAATAGCTTCAATAGATAAATAAAAAAATAATAACCATCTTAAAATCATGTTAAAAGGGTTTATTTCCTTTTCTGGCTGCTATGCCTTCTTTAACCGTAGGACTCACTTCTTCTCAATAAATGACTTCCCCTCTCCCAGGAAACAGGCGATGGACCTAAGCGGGCCTCCTGTGCACTTTCCTCGCTGTTTTTAAATAATCCTCGGCTAACGACCAACCCAAGCAAAGCGGCGACCACGGAAGTAAGAGACGTGGAAGCTCCAGCTAAGCTTAAACCGAATGTCTCTCTGCAGCAACAAAAAGATTAAATGGGTGTGTGGGAGCCAGCAGGTATCTGAAGACCGAGCTTTTCCTAAGAGTAAATAGCGTTTTTTAGAGCCAGACATTTAATATCCTGCTCCTTGGCACTCCTGCAGGGCAGGATGATAAAACCCCAAGACTGACTGAAGGTGTACTTGTGGCAGCGGGGAAGCTGAATATCTCTCTCACACGCGTGTCCTGTTAGTCCAAAGCCAAACATTAAAACCAAAAGCCGTTCTTTGGATCTGAAAAATATTTCCTTTAATTGTGTGCATTGTACGGGGAGGAATTTGTGTGAATGAGGGGGGCGTGGGGGCGGGGCTTAGAGTCTTAATGTTTCTGCTCACTTCTTGCCCTTTATGTCAAACGCCCAGAAATGTGAGAAGGGGCTTCAGAAAAGGCCGTCAGTCTGCGGTTTCTAGGACTGCCTCGCTCAGAGCCTAGATCCCAATAACGCTCAGTGCCGTGTTTCTAAAATGCTCCCCGTGCCTGTTTTACAGCAGCACGCTGCTTGACTATCACCCTCAAGCCAAGCTCCGCTCCTGACCTGCTTCCCACTTTTTGAATTAAAGAGGAGGTGTGCTCTGAAGGGACAATTGTACAGAGCACCCACAGTTCAGTTCCTGAAGGTGTTTCTCTGTCCTGTCGCTAAGGGGGCATAATAAAAACCAGGACTTTCTTAGTGACGCTGGGAATCACCAAACGCCTCATTTAGACCATACCATAAATACTACTCGCCTCCCAAACCAGGGAACATTTGTTGGGGTTTTTTTCACAGATTCCTCCTCATCTGCAAGAAAAATAAACTGCTTAGGGTGTAATAATGGGGAAACAACTGAAGACGGATGTGTCTGTTCAAAAGTACACTCGAGATCGGTCAGATCGGAAACCTCCTTTATTCATACAGAAGGTGAGAATTCTGCCCTTCCTTTAGAAAAGGCAGGATACAGACCTCTGCAAGCTCCGTAGCTCATGAAAAGAAGCGAACCTTTGGCGACAGTAAAGGACCAGTTCACGAAGCCATCCACGTTGGGCTCGCCCCTTTATAGGTCATTTGATTACTTTAAAACTTTCTTACCATCTCCTTTCTGCTCATCCCATTTTATTCGGTGTAACGTGAGCCGCTTAAATTTCTCCTGTGCTTTGGGACCTTGGAAAGAAAGCAGAAAAGATACAACTGACAAACAGCATCGCGACAAGCGACGAAGCACAGCTTCGCAAACACAATAACTGGGAGGAGGTCCAAACCATAAACCCAGAGCCACTCTCAAAGGAAAAGCCAGAGAGACGAGTTCCCTGTGCTGCTTGTCAAAGCCCACGTTTCTGAAGACTTGGCCTACCCTGACACACTGGCCTGAAACCGGTTTTCTTTACTCCAGGTTGCGCCAAGGGATGCTATTTCTGCCACATCCGTTCTGCAAACGGGCAGATGTGTTCTGCATTCTCCCCCTAACCCTCCGCCCCACCAAAAGCAGGCCGGAAGAACCGTCGGTGCCTCGGGACAAGTGCACCCTTCCTGAACCGCCAACCCTGCATTTCCCCCCCCCTCCTCACATTGCCTGAGCCTGCTGGAAGTTACAGCCCCTTGCAAAGGCAGAGTGTGATACAACCCGGCCCGCTCGCCCATCTCCGTACCTCCTTCCACTACCACCACGACGGGAAAGGTCGTTTTTTAAAGGCCCCGGTGGACGGCGGATTTGATCGGACGGAAAGTCCGACATGCAGAGAAGGTCTTCTGTGAAAGGAAATGGGGGGAACGATTAAGAGCGAAGGGCCGGAAGTCGGCCATCTTGGAAAGGTGCTTTTCTCACAGGACCCGGGGAAAACCGACATCTCGACTTGCCTGTCATTGAGGAACGAAGGGACCCCCACCAGAAAGCCCCCAATTTGCCCCTCCGGACGAAAAAGGCTATCTGGTGAGATTCGCTGGACTGCTGGTGAAGAACCAGCCGGCGGACATGCGCCGAAGGCCGAGGGAAGCGGCCCGTCCCTGTGGCAGGAGCATAGAGTGGAGAGACGCTCTGCGCTTTGCGGCTTAGCGTCTCGGTGTCCCGATGCTGGGCAAAAGGCCTCAACGTTAATGCTACGGGACGGAACGCTCTGCCCTCCTGTGGTCAAAAACGGGTATTGCCGCCACCAAAAGAAATAAACGCTTTTAATGGCATTTTAAAATTACGATATTCTCGGTCTTTATTAACGGTATTAACACCTTATTAACAGGGCCAGGGGAGGCCCGTTTGCTGCAACGCACAGGCGCGGAAGAAGAAATCTGCTTCAAAAGCCTTCAACCTAGTTAAGGATGACTATGATGCCCTATTAATATTAATAAGGTTTTAATAAGAAAGAGTAGCCTTAAAATGCCATTGACAAGTTTTGTAATGGCTGCTGGGCCTGCTTCAACCACGGGATGGATGGCACTGTTTTTTGACCCTTAATAGAACGCAATAGCTTCAATAGATAAATAAAAAATAATAATCATCTTAAAATCATGTTAAAAGGGTTTATTTCCTTTTCTGGCTGCTATGCCTTCTTTAACCGTAGGACTCAATTCTTCTCAATAAATGACTTCCCCTCTCCCAGGAAAAAGGCGATGGGAGCCTAAGCGGGCCTCCTGTGCACTTTCCACGCGCGTTTTTAAATATTTTGAGAGTATTTGTTGAGTCCGGGCGGGGGAAAAACAGACACGAAGCAGGTTGGAGTTCTCAGTTACGACATTTATTCAGCGTTCAGCTTACATGATATGATGGCTTCAGCCTCGCCCAAAACGCCTCGCAGCCTCTTAATAGGCAAATCCCGCGGGTTTTTTTTTAAAACAAAAAATGGTTACCTTTTTCCGCGCCAGCACCCGCGCAATGCGCACGCGCTGGCGCAGCCTGTCTGTCCCGGGCAGCTTTGCACCTGCCCGGGACTGCCTGCAAACGCCCGAGCCGTTTGCAAAGGCTCGGGACATAACACCCCTTTCCCCCGGGCTAAAACTACTACCAACATACAACATTTATTTTATATGACATTTTGCTTCCCAGGGCTCCCACTGATTACTGGCTTTTGCCTTGCCAGCAATGTTATGTAATCTTCTAGATACTTAGGAGATTTCTTTGCTCTCTGTGACCTTCTTAGCTCTGAGTTACTGGCATAAGTCCCCTGACTGGAGGGAGGCGTGAGCCTGTTCTCTCTATTGTGCCCTGGTGTCTTCCAAGGACTGTGCCCCGATGCCTGGCCTGCTTGCTTGCCCACCGGGCTCGTCAGGCCAGGGCTTCTGTTACTTTGTGACCTAGTTGACCTACCTAGCTGTAGACCCTCAGGCCCCTTGAAGTGCTAGTCGCTGCTGGGCGTTACTCTGTAAGAACCTCCAGGTCAGTCCAAGACGTCAGGAGGCTGTCCATTCCCTGAACCCCATTCCCTGTGTTCGGGCTCCGGTGGGGTTCTACATTTCCAAACTCAGGTGTTCCCTGATAGTGCTAGGGTTGTTGTAGTCGGGGGACTTGGTTCCTCGACTAGCTCTGTGTATGTTTGACCCCCGGTAGGATTTGGGGTAAGGTCAGGCCAACCTTGGGAATTGTGTGCCAGCTCTCTTGCGGGGAATGATTTGTTGGGATGCCCCCGGGGATCCTCCGTTGCTGGAGTGCTGTGTGATGTATGTGGAAAGTGAGTATGCCCCGGGGTGACTCCCTGGCTGGAGTAGGCGTGAGTGCCTGTTGTGTGGGTAAGCTCCATGACTTCCTTTTCGGAGCAATTGCGGAATCTTGGGATGGGCCGTTTGTGGCTCCCTCAGTGGAGATGGGCAGTAGCTCTTGCCCTTCCCTTTGCTCCAAAGGGTCCCCCTCCCCCCCCTGGAAAAGACCCAGGAGTCTCAGCAGAAAAGTCTCGCCTAGAGCGAAGTTGGTCGATGTGCCGACGCAGGACACGACCGTTGTCCAGGGCAACCTCGTAGGAGAGAGGACCTTGATCCTGGACACAGAAGCGGGGACCCATGTATGACCAGGCCCGTAGTTGCGAGCCCAAACCGGGGCACCCACAAGGAGTTGTCTAGGTGCCCTAGGATGTGAGGTAGATGAAGGCAGTCTGTCCGGATGCAACCGGTCAAGTCTAGTAGTAAGTTGGCGCCCCAACGAAGTTCAGCTGGACTTCTCCCTGTAGAAGTGGACGGTGTGGTGCGATAAGAAAGGAGAAAGTCAGCCAACCTGTGATGCAAGTCCCCGTAGGTGAGTCTCTTCAAGGCGTCCTTTGCGATGCGCACCATGCGTTCAGCCATACCGTTGGTGGACGGGTGAAAAGGCGCAGATGTGGCATGACGAATCAGGTTTTCCTGTAAGAAAGCTTGGAATTCGGAGGAGGTGAATTGAGGGCCGTTGTCGGACACAATGACATCTGGCAGCCCGTGTGCAGCAAAAATCCCCCTCAGTACCTGAATAGTCTTTGCAGTGGGGGTGGATGAGACAGGCACCACCTCAAGCCATTTTGAATGGCTGTCAACAAGGACCAAGAAGAACTGGCCCTGAAGGTCCCAGCTTATCAATGTGCACCCTAGACCATGGGGACTGTGTGTCCTCCCATCTATGCACAGGAGCTTGGGGCATCTCTGGGCGAGATCATTGGCACAGGTGGCATGCGTGTACCGTAGCCTCAATACCTTTATCTAAACCAGGCCACCACAAGTGGCTTCGTGCAAGAGCCTTCATACGAACAATGCCAGGATGACCCTCGTGGAGGGATTCTAAGACCCTAGTCCTCATTGAGGTGGGAATGACAACTCTGTTTCCCCAAAGCAGACAACCCTGAGAAAGGGCCAGTTCGTTCCTTTTGGACCAGAAACTCTGAAACTCAGGACTAGGGCAGTGCTCAGGCCACCCGGACAGGACCCAGGAGCGGACACGTGAAAGTGTGTGATCTGTACCTGTTTCAGCGGTAACATCCCTGGCACTAAGAGGGAGCTTGGGCAAGGCTTGGATTGATAGAATGTTGACAGCTGGCGCGGGGTCAGCTTCTACTACTGGCAGAGGCACTCTACTGAGGCCATCAGCATGGCCCATTTTTTTTTCTTTCACCAGGCTTGTGAGTCATGAAAAAATCATATGCAGACAAAAATAGACACCGTAATCCTTCTAATGGAATGATGTTGGGAGTCCTTACGTGTGTAAACATCCAGCAGATGCTTATGTTCCAGTGAAGACCGTGAAATGCCTGCCATATAGAAAATCGTGGAATTTTTTAATTCCAGCAACAACAGCCAGAGCCTCCCTGTCTATCTGAGCGTAGTTGCGCTCGGCAGAAGACAGTGTTCTGGAGTAGTATGCAATCGGAACCTGAGTTCCATCAGACCTGAGGTGACTCAGGACAGCTCCAACCCCGTAGGGGGACGCATCACAAGCGATGCACACAGGGAGAGACTCGTTGAAATGTGCAAGAACACTGTTAGAAGTGAGCAAGGCCTTGACTTCTTTAAAGCCAGCCTCATGTGCTTGTGACCACAGCCACACAGCTTGTTTGTCTAGTAGCCTGTGAAGAGGCTCAGCTACACTAGCTTTATGTGGAAGAAAAGAATTGTAGACATTCAGGAGGCCTAGGAAGGCCTGAAGTTCGGCCTTAGACTTTGGCCTGGGTGCTTCTAAAATAGCAGTTAGTTTGGATTCAGCAGGATGAATCCCAGCAGCATCAATTTTGAATCCCAGAAATTCAGTAGAGGGCACCCCAATCTTGCATTTGTCTTTTCTGAGCTTGAGGCCTGATTTCCTGAATCTTAACAGGACAGCCCCCTAATCCTTTTTCAGCTAGAATGTGTGTGGAGTCCTCCTGCAATCAAGACATCGTCAAAGTAGGGGCAGACCCTGTGTCTAGTTCCATAGATAATGGAACCCCTTGTAGCTTCACGTTGAGTGACAACTTTTTCTTCATGGGCTTGTGTGTGCCTGTCCTACAGATGCTTCTTCGCGAAGCGCAAAAACCTACCCTATTCTGGCTGGGGAGTCTGGTACCCTTCATGCGTTCTTCTTGGGGTTGTGCCTTTCGTCGGCCCAGACACACAGCTGCAATGTGCCCTAGTTTGCCGCATGCCCGGCAGGTAGCGGAGCGGAACTTGCAGTCGGTTCTCCTGTGGCGACCTCCACAGCCGATGCACTTGAGCGGAGCCGAAAAGCTTCCCTTCTGGTTTCCTTCCTTCGCGGGGTGTAGACGGTCGACTTCCTCATCCGGATCCTCCTCGGAGTTTCGTTGGATGTCTTCCTGGTGCACGGACGCACCCTCTGCACTGCTTCTGATCGGCCGCATGTTCTTGACGGCGCCGCCTGCTGCTTCTTCTGCGGTGACTTCCCTTAAGGCGTCTTGGAAGGATAATTCTTCCTTAGCGAAAAGTCTCTGGTGTAGCTCTCGATGCCTTAACCCGCACACGAATCGGTCCCTCAGTCGTTCCTCGAGGTCCTTGAACTCGCAGGGCTTGGCGGCCTTCCGTAACGTGGCGATGTATTCCTTGGCTGACTCACCGGACCGTTGATCCCTCTGTTCGAAGGTGTGGCGCCATGAGATAATGGACACCTTGGGGTGGAAGTGCTCCTTCAGCAGCTTCTTCAGGTCTGCGTAGCTTACAGACTCTACTGGGACAGGTGCTGCAAGGTTTTCTGTGATTTCGAAGGCGTCTTGGCCGCAAACGCAAAGCAGGGTGGCAGTCTTCAAGCTATCTT